CCCCCCCATGTGCGGGCGAGGGCTAGGGTTTTAGCGAGTAGCCTGTGCAGTTCCCTGTCCAGTACCTATACTCCTTTACGTGAGAACAGGCAGTGACGCAGTCAGCTTTAGTTCACTGGTTTGAGAGCAACATTCTGGAAAGCTGTCGACCTGTCACCATTGTTGAAGACGCAGCCGTCTGCCGATTCTCTCCGCCAACACCACTCTCACTTCAAATGACAGGTATTCCAAGTTCACAAACACCCCTGTAACAGCGCAAACGCAGCTGCTCAACCTATCGACAAACAGCCTGTAGGTATGTCTGTGCGTATTAGGAACAACTATATAACTTAGAAGTATTACAACAGTAAATAGACATGTCCACCGCTTCAACACCACAAAGAACTGACAAAAACTGACCCAGCGCGTAGTCACTTTCCGTTAATTATGTTAACTTTAAATGGAAACAAATGCCGCGCCGAACAATGTCTGACAGGGAAAGAAAAACTGAGACCACTTTATTATCAGTGACAAGTTTCGAAAGTGTGAATGGATATTTCAGGGCGATGACTCTTTGGAATGGCGCACCATGATTGCTCCTTGCATATCTATTGTGCACATAGTACTTACAGCGTCATGCCAACAGCAGCCATTATTATTGCGATATGTCAAGTTAATTACGAATAATAAGCCCTGCCGAGCAGTAACTAAGTTACACTGTCCGTGCTAGCATGGTAGGTGTAAAACATCCTTGAAAAATATGACACTCAAGTTGCACCAGGAGCTGCTCAATCTGCAGATTGACTAGCTCTGTCACTTCAGTCACGTATGATGTCTGGAGTAGTTAAAAAGTAATTCGAGTGTTTCAGCCGGAACTTTCTACCTGGCGAACATAACCTTGCAACTGCGTACATTTACAACAAATTGATTATGACGTCATAATTATTGTCATGATCTCCACGTTGAATGGGGTCGCATTTTCAGCTGTTTTGGCTGATTGCGTGTGCTGCTGCTGAAGCGCCACTGCTACTGACCAAGGTCCACCTCCGAGTCCCGCACCTCACCGCACAATACCCGTAAGTCACTGTTCTCCGGTATGAGGGGGGGGGGGGGCGGACCGATAACACGGCGCTACTGTGATGGCTGTGCCGCCACCGGTAATAGGTGCCGACTCACTCTGTTTATCCTAGACTCTACTGTGTGTTTGCACCTTCCAAGGAACAATGCAGGTGGCCGGAGGCAGCGGTGGGCCGACGCTAGCACTTAGGTCAAGGTCGTGTCAATCGAGGACCCATGGGTCCGGCTGAGGTCAGAAAGGAGCGTGGTACAGTCTGATACAGGCTCCTCTTCCTAATATGAAGATACGTACTCTATATTGTAGGTTGTCCACCTGTCAGAGGATATTGTAGGTGTCCATGTTCATGTCAATCGCTCTTCTAATCCGGAAGTCGCGTACTCACCAGCAGGGGTGAATCATGTTTTTAGCTGCAGCTGCCATTCAAAGTCATGATTAGGATGCATGGTTATTGATTTCCATATTCATAGGATGGGAGAACTATAAATGTAAAAGCACCCCGGCGGAGTGCTGAGCAGTTCGTAACGATCAGGAAAAAGGCTGCGTACTTGAAGACTAAATATTTCGATATTGATAAACTCAGATCGCATGAGAAGTTCTTTACGGACATATAAGACAAAATTTAATTGCATAACCACAGTCTTTCCAAACATGTACCTAGACCGTTTACCACACCAGTGTATGCTTTCAAGCTCGATGCGCTCTGCAAGCATCATCTTACTCTACATAGTCTCTCAAGTTCAAAATTTGCAGAAAGCAAAATGCTATCCTTGTTGCTTAGCTTGAAAAAATATATTAATGCTCCGGAAAGCCAGTAAAACTTTTATCAACACGACTAACTTTGAAAGTGTTGAGTTTGATTCGAAATTGCATAGTTCCGGATCCGACTAAATCGAGTTTAAAAGCTTGGGCGATGTAAAAAAAATATTTACCTCATTTTACCTCCACTGAATCTAGAAGTAAACGGAAAGTGCATATGAGTTTCAGGGTTGTATACGACTCAATCAATAGCAATCAATTCAATCACGACAAATTTGGGAAACCAATCAAATCAATCAAGTCAGAGCAGTTTTCGGGAATTGATTCAATCGACTCAAACACGGCAATGAAAGGAATCAATCAACTCAATCAAACGACTCAAACCAAGATATACATTAGGTTTTTTGCCCCACCAACTTGGAAAAGTGTCCATAGCAGTCTGGTGTACCTACCTACCTACCTACCTACCTACCTACAGAAGAAACATAAAAATATTGTCATTTAAAATTTTAAATTGCCATGCCATTCAAAGTTTCTATGTAATAAGGAAGGATACATAGTGATGGACAGGTGGATCATGATATTGAGGTTCAATGGGTAGAATTGGAGCAGAAGTTTCATTTAATGGGTGCAAAATAACCCAGTAGTTGACTTCAACAAACGCCCCTTAACCCAAATCACCACCTTTCACCTAAAAGTTGTCAATTTAATTTTGGCCATATTCCAGCTAAGTCATCAGGCCATCTACCCCATGTAAAGCCCCCGTCTGTCTCTTATCATTATGTGAGTTATGCGGAGCTCTTCTGAATTGAACCCTGGGCCTGAACATAATGAACCTAGCTAGGTTTCATGCCACACTGACACCATATGAAAGTGTTGAAAATGTGCTACAAATTTGACAACTTCATTAGGTATGCTTTATGAAGACAGCAGGAAAGCAGGTAGGTACCTACTTACCTGCCTAGATGTGTCACTGGCTACCAACAGTACCAACGAAGGTAGATAGGTTATGTGTGAAGAATTCAAAACATTTTATTGCAATACAATTTGAAACTGTTAGGACTGGGGGATAGGGATGAGCATTAAAAATATATTTAAAAGGAAAAGGAAAGGACAGGGACTCTGGAACCACAGGATAAGTTAAAGACAAAGGAAGTAGGTAAAAATTAAAACGCGAAAACGGCACGGTGCGACTGCGAAAAAAAAAAACAAAGAAAACGTTGGACAAAACGTTTTGCCGATAAGTATGCTAAGCTTTTATAAATCCTTATTCTACGTCTTTTGATTTTTTGGTAAGATGACGTCATTGATTATCATGTAGTATGGTAAGTCATCAAAAAATAAATCGGTTGTACAACACCAATTTCGTTTTAATTATTATTTCATTTGAAATAAAACCACTAAATAATATTCGGTAAAATATTTCAAGGAACATGAAATATATTAAATATGTTATGCTTAGGCTCTCAGGAAAAAAGGATCAACAAACGTTCTGCTGCAAATTAAACAATGCAGCAAATTAGCTATTAATTTACGTAAACGTAATTAACGAGACGAAAACGACGCTTTTGTTTCAGTTATTTTTGTAGGGGTTTCAGATATTTATAGAGTTCAGTGGGTTGTTTCTGAGATGTGGAGGTGTGAATTATTAATTAATCACACTTTATTAGTATATAGGGCCTTGCACTTTATCATCTGGATTAAAAAAAGTTTCCTGCTGAGTGCAGAAAGGTAGGTAGGTGCATCGCCAGGTATTATCTCATCCATGGCCAGGTTCTATCACAGGATTGGAGCAGTTATTGCAGTTGAAAGTCAAAGTTGGCTGTTCATGTTTAGGCCCTGTTCTTTATTTGGCCATCTACCCCATATTGCAGTTGTGATGACAAGCAGTTTTCAGTGTAGTTTTGTGATCTTTGATGTCATCAATTGGTGTCATTATTTTTTGTCAACTAAAACTTATTTCAACTTTCCATTCAATCGACTCAATCATACGAGTCACTCTAATTTTCGGGAATCAAATCAGTCAACCAGTCGCTAAAGTCAAACGAGTCAGTCAACCAGTCATCTCGAAAAGTCAATCGACTCAATCCAATCAACTCAAAATACGCGTTGAATCAAATCAATCAATTCAATCGACTTGATTGGTATACAACCCTGATGAGTTTTATGGTCGGAAATATTTCTTTCCATTTTAGTAAACACATACATAATTCACGGCTTTAAAACCTGGGAAATGATCTAAGAACGATTGTAAGTGCTTGCCAGAGGTGTTTACCGAGCGGGGCACGGTCAAAGTGTGCTCCAGTAAGCGTGCTGAAGAACGCTGCGATAACTCGCACTATGTATAATTCGTGGAGGAGGCATGATGCAGTCGTGGTATTTCGATCCTGGCCGGATCTTGGTTCATAATATGCTTGCATGGTAATTATTCCACAATACATAGACAACTTGTTCAATAGGAATATAATTCAATATATACTGAAATTCACTTTACATGGACAGGTTTAGCTGTAGCTTTCCGTATCAACTTAGCCTATTTCATGTGAATATCTATACGTTATTTTATCGGCTCATGCCGCAACGCCTTAGCTACATGTATACTCAGGATCGCCAATGCGCCTGTCTGGTTCCACTCATTGGCCATTGCTCATACGGAAATGACACCATGCGTGCAATGCAGACAGAAAACGTTAACTAACCCACTCTCATAGACCTGCCACTGAAAATGAGACGACGTAACCTCGTAAGAGCCACTGTTGTGCTTTCATGTTTAGACAAGTTCGATATCCTCGCACGATATGCAATAAACGTGCGCTAAAGAAGCAATAAAAACTCCCCCTAGCTGCCTTGGGTACCATGCCACTCGCATAAATGTGATTTTATGACCCACAACACATTACTTCACAGCAGTAGTTTGCGTAATAGAATACCACACCGTATAGTAAACAATCTACCGGTGTCATCCATGCTCCAGTGGCATATTGCACGCTCACTGAACCGCCACAATAACCGCTACCAGACCGCGCCATTTTACGTGTCTCCAGTGACCACTCCCCCGGCACTGCGGCTCTTAATGACCGGAGGTCTCTGGGTTCTGTGTGACCGACCGCGGGGGTCGCGCGCGGGCGCCGTGGGTCCTGAGGTGGCGGCGGCGGCGGTGGAGGCGACCGTGGTGCCAGGCCGGTCCCAGTCGGTGGGTGGATCCGGCAGCAGTCGGGTCGGCCACGGACGGCGCCGTCAAGATATCACGACAGTGACACCGAGTGTCGAGCTATCGAGAGAAGAGGTGGCGTGAGTCACAGGTAGAACTGAGTCGGGACTGATCGAGAGGAAGGATGCTTGTGGCTTGGGCGTCTGAAAGTGGAAAAGACTCGATCAAAATTGACACACAGCATAACTCTATAGCGGCTACAAAAGTGATCTTAAATATTGCTAGCTTTGACAGCTTTGCAGCAGGTGACTGTACTATCTAACTGGTCCACCTTTTGCTCATAAAATCAGCTACGATCAAACAAAGTAGGATAGTGCTCTTCGTCGTCCCACAAGTGGCGTATAAATCGATTTACGGAGAAGCGCCGCTGCTGGCGTCCAATTACCGGGACTAAGCTAGTGTTCGGTGGTTCATGAAGATTGAGCGCAGCAGAAGACGGACCGCGAACCATCAGGTTCGGTTGATAGCGCAACTCATCTTCCATAGTCGTTGTCTTTGACCAGGGACAGCCTGCTGGGGCTTTTGGCTGACTAGGAGATACGCCAATCGTGCTGGCATTGAAGCGCTCAGATAGTGACCCTAACAAACTGATGCTAGCTTTCTGTTAATTGACGTCAAGAGAACCGACAGACGTGGGTTGACAGCCATTCACTGGGGCGTATCATCCAGCTGTCAGAGCTCTTGACCCGTCTCAGAAGGAATCTCACCCCTTGGACAGCCCTCGTCTTCAGCATCCGCTCCTCCGTGACCATGGAGCTGCCGTCGCCCTCCCCGGACACCACCGGCCCGTCCACCACCGCCGCCGTCTCCATCCCCATGGAAACCACCACCGAGTCGGACGAGGAAAAGATGCGTCAGATCCTCGAGAGCATCTGGCCGAAACCGCAGTTCTGGGTGCTGATCGTCTGTCACCTGATAGTCTTCGTCGTCGGCCTCATCGGCAACGCGCTCGTCTGCATCGCCGTCTGCCGCAACCACACGATGCGGACGGTGACCAACATCTTCATCGTCAACCTGGCCGTGGCTGACTTCCTGGTGCTGCTGTTCTGCATGCCGCTGACGGTGCCGGTCGACATCACACAGACATGGTTCTTCGGCAGCGTCTGTTGCAAGGTCATCACCTCACTTCAGGTGAGTTTTGGGATGGTGGTAAGGGTGACGGGGAGGTCATGGGTAGACGTTTTACCTTGAGAAAGTGTAGCTTCACATATGTAATCCAGTTTGAGTCTTGCGACATGAGTCTGAAACATATGTCAATATTGAAACTGAAGTTGATCGATATCAGGCAGACATTGTCTAAGTAATGGCACACTTGGCTTCCCTGCAGCAAACACTAACTATGATGAACGGGAAAGGCGTTAATTCGCTCTGTGAAGGCAGTTTTCCTCACGGTAGAAAACCGAGTCGGGTCGATGCACCGTGCCGGCTGAACCGGGCGGCCGCCGGGATGGCTTCTGTTCCTCAGAGGAAGCAGTACCCTGCGCTCCTTCAGTTAATCACAGACTGTAATCAAGCGGGCAATCTCAGAAGCCAGACAATGTTCCTAGCGATATGGGTTTATCGTTGTTTGATCAATGCTATATCCTGGTTGTTGTGTAACAGGGAGTCATGTTGCAATTACGAAGAATCCCTGGACCATCTCCTAGAACAAAAAGTATTATTTGACCCTAATTATGGTGAGACAGCATGCTGGATGCTAGAGATCAATTGTGTTTCGCATATGGAAAGACCCTAATACAACGCTGCTGTTATGGTCATGGCAAATGTACAATGATGCTGCTGTGACCTTCCTACCGTGGTTGTTTACGGTGCTATATCTCTATGAAAGTGCGAGACTGTTGCAAGAGTGGCGGCTTTTTACATAGTGACAACAATGAGAAGAGTGAATAGACAACGATGCGACCATAAAAGTAATCAGATGGAATTGGCCAGCTATACTCGCACACTAACGCTGAAATCAGCCGTAAGCTCATATTTCGTTATCATGTATCAGTTTTCATTAAGAAAAAATATAAAAGAACTACAAATACAAAAGCCTTAAAAAGCTTTCACTTGCACTTAAAAACTTTGCAACACATTCATATCTATGTACATACGTTAGCACGTTTGGACTTTTCGATAGCAGAAATTGAGGATGTTTTCGGGAAGGACAGGTGATTTACCTACACTGCCGGGGGACGACTGTGAATAGCCGCAATAAAATCAATAATTGGAGCATTGGGAACTTGAATATGCACGAACACCTATTGTCATGTTCGGTAAAGCTGCTGTCATTTTCTTGCATTTTTAATTGCTTTTCTAATTCAAGGTGACCGTCTTTCTCAGGATGTTACCTGCGGTTTACTTGCGATTTACTGCTGATGAACTTAAGGTTAAATAAATAAGCTTTAAATGGAAAACACTGAAGTACTAATTAACTTTCACCTTGTCGGGCTGGATGGTTTGTCAATGGTTCTCTTTGCACTCATAGCTAACACTGACTGTGTCAACACTTGGCGACCATTGAATAGCAATCAGTATAAAGCAAAGAGCAACCGCAATTCGCAAATCCATGAACCACAAAAATGCTAACGTGCAGACAATAGCATAGTTTCAATTCCACAAAACGAAAACAGTCGGCAAAGTATACCGGTTCGCTGGGTTCACACCAATAAACCAGTTGGGGCGGCCGTAAATATTGCTACCGTCTCCAGGCCACGGTGCCGAACACTATATCACGTGCCGAAGGCCCGCTGTGACCGTGCCCCTCGTGCAGGCCCCGATCAGTGTCCCCACTGCCAGCTGCACGCGGCGCGACGCAGACTTATGAGCAATGGATGCACTTTATTGGCGGTGGTGAGGAATCAATAATTTAATGGGACGCATTTGATGTGGTGCGCAGTCATGAACAGATTTGAGTGGTGGTAGGTGCACAATGGTGTAGTATTTGTCTAATATAATTCTGCTTCCAACACAACCGTCAACGATCAAATTTTTATTTTGTATGAGCCACAGTTGGTTTGCTATACATGTACACATGGTTTTATATGTCATGAATTTAAGAGTGAAGCCCGAAACTAGCTGGATAACGCTATAGTCTAGTGGAATAAAGTACGAAAACGAACTGCAGGCCTTGTTTTTAGCATGGCAAATGCAGATATGTAACTTAATGTTAAGTACATTATTTTTCTATTTGTATCCGTCATACCTATTCGTTGTCATTCAAGTAACTTGCCGATGCATCAGTTCCACGTGTTGTCTATGAGGCAGTTCGTATTCGGGCGTGCCAAACCGCACACTAACTGCGACCGCATCCAATTTTGAGAACACTGCAAGCATATTCCAGGCTACCATATGGGCTACCATCCCATTTCACTGGACCATGAAAGTGGAGCTGTTGTCTCTGAAATGCAACAATCCACGTAACATCTATAACCACACCGTACTCATTTTATTTTATTATCCCGCGCGGGGCTGGGGTCTCCAGCCGAACGCGCGGGGCTGGGGGGGGTAAATTTTACCCCCCCCCCTGTTATCTCCCGAACTAATGGTCCGATTTGGAAAAATCAAACGCCAGTCGAAAGATCTCATCACGAACAACTAAAAACATGTACTTAATTTAAAGTTTGAGGTCAAGGTCAAGGTCAGGTCAAGGGTACAAATTGCAAGTTTCTACAGTATCGGCCTTGCACCGTAGTTGCCGAAGAATGGAGTCATCGACTGAGACTGATTGCCCAAAACGTGTTTTTAGGCTACCAAGACAATATTCGTTGCATACAATATCATTCAGAGGTCAAGGTCAAGGTCAGGTCAGGTCAGGTCAGGTCACCAAAAACAAAATATAGAAAAGGGCATGTGCGACACATATTTTATGGGTCATTTTACTCATAGAATTCAACAGGCACACTCAATAAGTGATATGGACCACCTCTGGATGAATTTCAGGTCGAGGTCAGGTCAAGGTCAGGTCAAGTGAGGTCATATTTTGAAGTTGGTTGTTAAGGCCTAAAAAGGTATCTATCTGATGCAGTTTTTCACGACGAATCGAATGGTGCTATTTTTGTTTCCGTACGAGGTCTAGAACTTCCAAAAAATCATTTTTCAAAATTTTTGTGTGTCGTGACGTCATAAAATCTTGAATAACTCCCACATTTTTGAACCGATTCTTCTAAAAATTGGTATGTAGGTGCACATAGACCACTTCTATGACATATATTCCGGTTTTTTCGATACACTCAAAATTTTGGATTTTATAATCATTTTCCCAAAAAAAATCAGTTTTTTGAGAAAAAAAATTGGGTCAAAATCCAAAATTTTCAAAAAACCGAGATAGCTATTTGATAGACAAAGTTGAATCACGTATAACCTTTTTTGTTACGTCTTGATTCCTTTAAAAATGAAGATGTTAGCGGCGTTTGAACTTTTGCCGTTTTGGAGACGAAAATGCGAACATGACGTCACTAAAACGTCAATTTCTCAAAAAAATTTCCGACGGATTTCGCTCAAATTTTCAGGGAACGTGTCAAATTGATGTAACAAAAGGTACTAAAAGTTTAGCGCCGCCGTTTTCGAGATATTGCAAAAATTCTCGAGGGGGGTAAAATTTACTCCCCCCCCCCCAGCCCCGTGCGGGTTATATTTTATTTTATTTTCAAGCCTATGCAAATGCATTCTAAGATAGCAAGGTAAGGGGCTTACCCGTTTCAAGTAAAAGTATAAGCGATTGGTGATAGCTATTGGTGAAGCTGTTGGTGAAAGAGAGAGAGAGTGAGAGAGAAAGAAGAAGGAGAGTAGGCCAATCACGCTGAAGAAGCTGATTTATTTATCGCTCCTCTTCTCGCTGAAGGAATGAGTCACGGTTGCCAACCGTGCTGACTGCTGACCTACCCAGATAAAACCGTGCCAACTCCATGTTTTATGTATTGACCAAGCTATGCATAGTACACCATTACGTATTCACTGAGAGAATGGAAAATCTCATATGGAGACACGTGAATGTTGATACGTGATAACGTCGGCACCAAGTCGAAAGTAATGCATCTCGCGCATATAGGAAATCGATGCATCAAGCACACCATTTTAATTTTACCTGCAGAATACCATGCTTTTCAATTCACTTTATCTGCACCGACATTCAGAATGATGATTACAAGAGAACTCCATTGCCAGGTAGCACTTAGTACCTATCTTCTAATGCTTGTAGGCATGCTGCTTGGTGCCCCCTCCATAGTATCAACTATCTGGGAAAGGCTTGATGCATAGTTCAATCTTCCCCGAGCCCTATCTAATGTGGCAACAGATGAATGGTTTGGGGTCCGTAAAACCCAGCTGTCAACAACAGACTACTGGCATGACATAACGCCCAGTGCCCACATTACAATAACTTCTCGCTTCTCTTTTTGTGTCTTCTCTCTCACTCCTGCCTCCCCCTCTGTCTCCTTCTCTCTCTCTCTCTCTCTCTCTCTCTCTCTCTCTCTCTCTCTCTCTCTCTCTCTCTCTCTCTCTCTCTCTCTCTCTCTCTCTCTCTCTCTCTCTCTTCTCTCTCTCTCTCTCTCTTTCTCTCTTTCTCTCTTTCTCTCTTTCTCTCTTTCTCTCTCTCCATCTCTCTCTCTTTCTCTCTTTCTCTCTTTTTCTCTCTCCCTCTCTCTCTCTCTTTCTCTCTTTCTCTCTTTCTCTCTTTCTCTCTCCCTCTCTCTCTCTCACTCTCTCTTCACGTCTCAAGAAAACAAACTGAGCAGTTTGCAGCAATTCTAACGCTCCCCGTAGATTTCCCCTTTGTGCTGCCTCCCAGGTGGTTTCCGGACCGTTCATTTTCCTTTTCTCACCATGCTGCGTCTGAGCTGCCCCGTCTCAGTCTGTTCTGCCGACGGCTCCCCATTGTGGCTGTCACAGCTCTGCCGGAGCTCGGCATCGCTCACTCGACGCTGACAGTGGGGATTCCTTCCACGGGAACACTGAATCACACGCGCCGTCATCACCTCCTCAAAAGGCACGTGAATGTGCGACCGGGTGGCCCTGTCTGTTATTATGCAGGTGAAGTCATTACAAAGACGGCTGTGAGCTGACACTCCCTGGGTTTGTCTGCGAGTTGTGAGCGGAATGTCAAAAGGCGCAGTTAACCAGTAAACAACAAAACAGCGGTGGTTGATAGT